ACTCTTTTTGGGGGACCTTCGACGCAAAAAAATTTTGGTCTGTCTGTCTGTACATTTGTCTGTTTATCTACTCTTAACAGGATCGGGTATTTGAAACGGCCGACCCCATCCGCAGCGCCCACCTATGTTCCTCAAGATTCAGCGTTCATACTTGTGCAATTCTCGATTAAAAAAGCAATTATATCACGTGTATGGGGCACCATAACAACACGTATATATTCTGCATGTGAGCCTTTTACTAGAAAAGGCATACATAAATAATTTTAAGGACCGTAGCGCTTATCAGGCTGCGCTGACCATCCAACGCTTGCACGGAAAGGCGAGTGTTTCCAACGCTTTGCTAAAACGAGACGGTGGTGGCATCTACCCGTCGCCTTGCGTTCTACACCTGATCACCTCTGAGGCAGGCGTGCACACCCGTCTCAGAGCCACGCGCTTTGTTCATGAAAAAAACTGCCATATGGCGGTCGTGTCTCACGTGTGACGTGACTTTATGCGCTCGTTCACTTCCGCTGCACGCTCGAGGCACTCTAACGCAGCGGCCCCAGAATACCATTCACCTATTTTCTCGAGCAGAACATCAAACAAATGTTTTGTTCACTCTCTCTACACGCAAAACTATAGACTTTCGACGACATTTGCAGATTAAATGCAGATACGGGGCCAGTTTTTTGTGAGGGCAGTCAACTCACTCTAGCGAACGCATGGTTTACTTTCGTGATATACCGCTTCTTGTGACAACTGCCATGCTTCCCCCCCCCCCTTAATTGACGGTATTGTACATGTAGCGTAATTGTGATTCTTACGCTTGTTCATTCTTGCGGGCCGATATTGGCATTCCCTATTGAGATCGAAATGTGTTCTTTATTAGTAAATCGCCAAATTGATGATAATATACTTTTTCTTTTACTTTTGCGACACATGCTGTAAACAAGTTCTGTACGGAGAGTTAATGATGCATATTCATTCGGAACTAACTGTGAGCTCAAGTAGAACCATACAATAACCTCTTCTACCAGTCAGATAGAAGAGCATCACCAGGTGTGCTTATACTGGCTTTCACTTCTAAAACTCGTAGAACTACAACTTCATTCAAGGCAAAAAGAGAGATCAACCCTGAATAACCAATTTGCTCGTTTGAGAATTTTAATTCAAGATATGTGAAATGGATGGTAGCCACAAATCACTTGGGCGGCTTATAATGGGGGGCACTGGTCCAATTCAAATAAGGGTGGATTGCAAAACCATGTTAGTGTCATGCTTCGAGTGCACGTTACAGAGGCCAAACTTATCATACCTATTTCGGAACTTTTGTCAATGCTGTAATAAATTAGCCGCTCGGCACTTTCGGGACGTTAAATTACATAGCTTGTTTTTAATGGCAGCAACATCCCAGCGTGACATTCAGTAGCATGTTGGAGAATGCACGAGTCACTGAATCAATACGAAGTTTGTCGCCTACCTGGTAACCGCCACGCCGTGCGCAGTTCAATATAGATTGAAGAATCTGCTTCCTTCTAAGAAGGGGCCACCTCATACCACAGTTCAGAGCTATTTATTTCAACAGCACCCTCTCTTCATCATGTCGAATATACTTATGTAGCCACGACATACAATAGACATCAACTTGTACCAGTTCGTGGCCACCAAAACGCTTTGGGTGGGAGAGGTGGTCAGATTTCTCTGTATCTATGTTTGTGCACGTGTGCGCGTATGTTTTAGTACAAGTGTGTGCCTGCGTGAGCGTGTGTGTAGTTTTCGCGTGAGTTTGGCCCTCTCCTCCGGCTGTGCAAAGGACAACACCATCTATAGAGGTTGTGCAGCGCTAAAACCACTCGTCAATTTATACATGTCCAAGCTCCGTTAAAATTCTGTTTTATTTCATGAAGCAGCACACAAATGGAAATAATTACGGACACACAAAATGATCGAAACACAATCCCTGGTGGTACCCAAATATTATGCCTCACAAACTAGCCAATCACTACATATTAAGTAAATATCTATAGCTATGAAACGTTCTCGCAGTCATTAAGTTATTCAGAAAAATAAAGCGAGTGTTTCAGGCAAGTTTAACTTTTCTTTTCATTTTTGTAGTGAAATTGTGAGAGAGAAAATTGGCATCCATTCGATCGTAGTTTGGTGCTACAAACTGGTGAAAGCCTCTTCCTCCTTTCATATTATAAATATTCCTCTGACTTGTGGGATTCTATAGAATTTGCCATGAGAGGAATTTGAATCAATTCAGGAAACTGATTAATTTTAAGTGTAATGATTGATTGATTGATTGATTGATTGATTGATTGATTGATATGTGGGGTTTAACGTCCCAAAACCACCATATGATTATGAGAGACGCCGTAGTGGAGGACTCCGGAAATTTCGACCACCTGGGGTTCTTGCACGTGCACCCAAATCAGAGCACACGGGCCTACAACATTTCCGCCTCCATCGGAAATGCAGCCGCCGCAGCCGGGATTCGAACCCGCGACCTGCGGGTCAGCAGCCGAGTACCTTAACCACTAGATCACCACGGCGGGGCAATTTTAAGTGTAACAAACATCATGTCCGAGAAAACGTACCTTGGAGAAACAGGATATACATTGTATCATAAAAGTAAAGTTAGAGAAACAAAGTAGTGCCATTAATACTTATAATGCGTAGCAAAAAGAAAAGACAAAGTATGCCAAAAATAACGCAATAAGGCGAGCTATGGTCTTATAACGTGTATCACGTGTCTTTTGGATACAAAATGCGCTACATGTTCCTGAGCAAACAATAATAATGGTGCACTTAAGGTTGCATATGAATATTCGATATTAATGAACTTGATGCGGGGGCACAAACATTTATGTTAATAGCAGGCGTGACAGTGCAAGACTGCACATAATATTGTTACGGTAGGAAACTCAGTAGAATAAATTCAAAACTCTGTTTACTTTATAAGAAGCGCAGATATTCTAAATAACAGGGAGACAAAACTATATTATACAACATAGGCAGTTGTCTGTGTTGTAGTTGTTTCTGTCCCTTTATCAGTATTAATTTCCACTCTGCTTGCTACTTCTGATTCGTAATTCCAACATGTTCAGCTTATAACTCCACTGGAACACTGTAAAATAAACATGTAATAGGTAGCGCTACGACTTGCGCTGTATGCTCTGCATAAATGGTTCAAAATCCCCAACAAGGCTATAACAGTGCGACACAAGGTGGCATAACATTAAGGAAGACTTTAAAGGGTAAAGCAGTGTAATCCTTGTCAACCATCATTTCTCGTAAAAAAACATAGCAAGAAGACACCAAAAAGATTAAATGCGTATGACATTTTTTTTAGAACATTGTGGTCCGAATTTGTATGTAGAGCATTTAGTTCGGGCAATTAATGAGTAATAATTTTTAGGCTTTTAAGTCCCAGAACCAGGATATTATTATGAGTGACGCCGTCATCGAGGGCTTCGCACATTTCGGCCATCCGCTGCACTTTACCATGCGTCTAAATCTAAGTACACGAGCCTCGAGCATTTTCGCCTCCATCGCAAATGCGACCGCCGCGGCTGGGATTCGAGCCTGCGGCTTTCCGATCAGCAGTCAAGCCCGACAACTAATAGACATCCGTGGTGGGAGAGCTCATAGTTTGAATATTCGTTCAGGATTAGAAGTGCTGAAGAATAAGTTCATTTTGTTGCTACTGGCGGCGTGCCATCAGCAGATTGCTTTCACTGGCTTGAATACAAATCTTGCCATTAAGGGTGCTTGATTTGTCCCATGACCAATGCCTTCAAATCAGAATCACTGATATGGCCAAATGATTTTTTGCACGTTTTTTTAGTAAATGCGAACATAGCTGCAATAGATGAAACTAAACATTCATGACATATATTTTAAGGCCTCCCGTGTCAACTATCCACCCTTCAGCTAAACGATTAGATCGGTGTACACTACGTCATCAGTATTCATACATAACTTCAACTACTGCACCTGAAAAGCGTTTAGGTACTATAGCTCGTAATTTACAATGTCAAATTTTCGCCACCTTAAAAAAGCGGTTCACATCTGCGGAATAAGAAATGTGTTATTGTATTGCTGTTCCCCATGTGATAAGTCAACGTTCATGACGGTGTCACCATTTTCACTGTTTAACGCGGTTAAACTGGTGATTAGGGGAAGGGTAAGGATACAAAGTAATCGTGACTGCATTACAGCGGCTGGACGCCTCGACTATTCCCATTCAAGAGTAGTCATTCTTCGGCTCACACAGTATCTCAATGCCCTCTTATCGTTCTCGTGCAATATAGTCGATTGTATGTATGTGCTTACGTATCACTTCCTCTGCGTCTATTGCTTTTTTTTCGAACGCGATGGCTCATGTCGATATGATCGCGGCGTTTCCTCCTACAAGAACTTCACCTGTCATTTCTAATATCAAAACGTGACATGAAACAAATAAACCATCGCTTTCTTACGGAGAAATGTAAGAGTGCATTTCCAAAGAAGAAATAAACCATAGCAACCTGACCACATATGAAGGCGCCGTTCCCCCCAAGCAGTTTTCACGCTAGAATCACAGAACGCCCTTTTCTGTCGAGCCCAACTGCGGAACCCTTTGCATAGTTTGTAACGTTACGGTATTTAAAGCAATATTTGCGCGCTTGCTGACGACTTCGCTATTTCTGAACGCTGGGCGATTGCTGAAGGTTATATATTTATTCACAGAGCACATCCATCACTTCGCGGCATCAGAGCGCGTCAGCACTGCACGGTCCCAGTTAGCCTAGGGTCAGCATGTCTTCTTATTCTCCACTATACAAAATTATCAGCCAATGCACCCTTAGAACATACGAAGAGCCTTCTCCGCAAGCAGTTTAGTTAGTGCTCGCTCAGTGCTTTCAATTCAAGAAAGAAAGAAGCGCATCGTCTAGATCACACCTTTAAGACAAAAAAAACAGCACATGCTAATGAATGAACGTTGTGAATAAGCAGGATTATTCACGAATTACCTTTGTTTAAGGTAGATACCCCCACGAGTCTACGTTACTGGCAAACTGTTCACAAAGGAGCAGCGTATTGACGAGAGAAAATACGTGCCGCAAGCCTCGCACAAGTAAGATGCCCAATATGCCGATCGAAGGACCGAGAAGATAACGAAGAAGGTTACACTTCGGCACGAGAGATAGTCGCCATGACGACGGATATACATCTAACAAGAGGCGCTTACACCGAGCATGCAGGCATTGAAAATACAAGCAAGGAACAAGGTGGATGTCTGTGCGCAAACGGAAAAGAGCGGGGCGGGGGGAAAACTATGGACGTCACAATCGTTTGCTACTACCAGGTGAGACGTGCTGACATCTAAACGCTGTCACCATTTAGCCAAAATCAGCTTCACGCTGAAGCAATGAGGCACTTCTTGCAATGAACACGGCCACGATGGACGACAAAGTCGCAGTTACATTGAATCCAGACTGCACGTATTCGAGCCTATTGGCCGCCTAACGTAGAGATAAAAAAACGCTGGATTGCGTGGGATATAATCTTCAGGGTTTTCTATTTTGTTTGATGAGGCGTGCGCCTGTCTCATACTGTTTAGTGCATCGAATTTTGGTATAGCTCAAATTCAGATCCAGCCGCCCTTCGTTGTCGACAGGGCATTCGCTATTTCATATCGCTCCTGGGCGCTTAAACACAGATGTTTTTCAAGAGCAGTAGCCATGAAAATCTTGCGCATAAAATTCTTTTATCTAGCACGTTCTTTAACTTCAGACTTGTGCATGATGCGGAAGGAAATTTCGAAAAAAATTGCAATTCGAATGACTTACACGAATATCCCACTGGTTACACTGATCAAATTCACTACCCGAAAGGAATGGCTGAAGATTTGTTATTACTTTTGCGTTACTTTCCTCGAAAGATATAACAAAATCATACAAATACACCAGATAAAACCAGCTAATTATTTCTCGGCTTCCTTTGTGGAACTTCAAAACATTTTTAATACATTCAGTAACATTTGATTCTTCAGTTTTACGTGAGTCGTCCTCTCGTGTTTTATTTCAATAACATGAATTGAACCCATATTAAATTTCACTCAATACGTAGCCATTGAGACAAAATGATAACGCTGTAAGGTGGAAACTGTTTATGAATAAAACTTTTGTGACACTAACCCGATTCTCGAGCATGGGTAAACGCTTGAAAGTTGCTTGGAGGCGACGCCTGTGCTACATAGGGGCAAAGCAAAGCTAAAACAATCTCATCGCGGATCACTCATGCTTTGCTTCAATTATGCTAAACTTAAAAACCATGGTGTAAATGAATAGAAAACTCACAAGGTGGGGTTCACATATTGCAATGATTGTTTTTGTAAGTCCTTTATTTGAACTACATAAAAATAAAAAATTATGCTTTCAACCTTGCCCAACCTTTAATCGTGTAGCATTCATTCATTTAAATAAAATGTAAAGAAATAGAAACTAGCATATGGATGAACAGCCACTATAATAATAATAATAGAAACAAGAACAAGAATAAGAAGAGGAAAAAGAGGAGGACGAAAAAGAGAAAGGAACCCAATCAAATCTGTTTTTGAAAGAAAAGAGTTTATTTCTCTGCACCGTCCAAAGCTATCGCGGAAATCAGCGACGACGAATGGGCGCAAGGTGTCCCAAAAGTACTGCCTAAAGTTCCAACTAAAAGCACACACACAATCATTTTTCTGTTTAGCCCCATTATTATTATTATTATTATTATTATTATTATTATTATTATTATTATTATTATTATTATTATTATTATTATTATTATTATTATTATTATTATTATTATTTCCCAGAGCACAATGACACTGATCCTTGCAGCCCGGGTATCTAAATTTGTAAAAGGAGCTCTATGCGATATAACCATTCGGAAACGTGCCCTCATTAGTCGCCGTCTGGCCCTGACATTTTGTCTCTTGATCTGTTGTTTTTTTAGACAACCTATGCTTGTATTCTAAATTGATTACTCTATTCTTTCTTACATATGTTCCATTTGTGCATTCAAAAGAAGCCCGGGTAGCTCAGTCGGTGGAGCGTTAGGCTTTCAACCTAACGGTCCAGGGTTCAAGCCCCTGCTCGGGCGCACCTTTTTGTTTTCTACTTCTCTCTTTTTTTAGGAACGGAGTGTATACCTATAGTCGGGTATAACTGTACAAGTCCGTGTCATTATCATCTCCCAGGCGGATGCAAACTCTGTAAAAAAAAATTACTCCGAGGTCGAAGTAAAACGTTAGCCCTCTAACGACCCCCCTGTTCGGAGGAAGTTTTGCTCCGGACCTGCGGAGCAAAGTGTTTACTCCGGCTGACCAAAGCTATTGCGTGGTACATCCGAAGCATTTCTCATTGATATTTCACTCCGACAAGCTGGAGTAATTTTTTGGCATTTTTTTACCGGCCTTTCGCTCCGGCTAGTCGGAGTGATTACGTGGAACCCCCGGAGGATTTTTTGCAGATTTTTCACTCCCACTATGCAGAGCTGTTGCGGGGCGCTTCCAGATTATTTTACGAATGTGTTTACTTCGTCTGAACGGAATTTCAGTGAGATGTATCAGAATTTTTTTTTAAGTGTTTGCTCCTCTGTTTATTTATTCTATGCCGATCGTGTCAGCCTCGGTTATATGAAAAAGTTCTCTATTTTGATCTAAGCACTGCAGAGTTACTCTGTATTTTTTTCACAGAGCTTTAGCAAATAAAATTCAAAAAAGCACTTGAGTTCTTATTCTTTGATTTGTTCAAAATAAGCTGCCATTTCTGGTTTATTGTCCATCATTTGGGAAAAGAAGACAAAAAGAAACAAACACGCAAAAAGCCACCAAAAATATAAAAATAAGAAAGATCACATGAAATCAACAGCACTCAAGTTGGAAGCACAGCGCTTCAAAAATGAAGCCCAGAATTCTCTAAAAAGATGCACGACAAACGAAAAAACCATGGCCATCGAGAACAACTGTTAAACATCCCCGAAGGACCATTCATCAGCTTCATTAATAACCTAAGGGTTAAGCTGATTGCTTCCTGCATAATTCATTCAGCAAAAAAATATTTACACATGGGAACTGCAATTAATGTGAGCGCCATGAAATTTGAGGACACCGAAGCCACGGCTACTGGTTAAATTCCTTACAGTCTTCGAGTACACGAGAATAACTAGCCTCGTAAACCGACCACACAAACACAAAAACACAGGAACAGCGTTCAATATCAGGAAGTCGATTCTATGTACCTCGGTATCAGACAGCCGGTACGCCATAAAAAACACACCTCCATGACGCGAACAAAGTTTAAGACAGATGTATTCTTCCCATATATTTCTAAATCGATAGGCCTATTCTAACTAAATGTTCGAAAGCATTTTTTTTTTCAGTCAGTGAGAACAAAAATGCTTTCGAACGTTTCGAACAGTGGTACTTGCCGTCCATCAAGTGGAAACGAGGCCCTAGTTGCACATGTATGTATTTTTCTCGTCAGAGCGTAAGCAAACAACGCAACACGCTATTTACTAATTATTAGCTGGCTTTGCCGTAATGCAAGACGTATTGCAGAAAAGCCAACTTTATATTTAAGAAAAGGGTTTATAAGGTTGACAAAAACGACTCAGGAAGCTACATAGCTTTGGCTACACAATAACACATTGTATCAATCAAAAACTCGTCTATCGTCCAATCTAAAACAGGGAGTTGTTTTTGAAATCTCCTCTCTAAGACTTGTAATCGGTGTTTAAAGAAGCCAAAGTGTGTCAAAATTGTGGCCGCTCCCATTGGCTATGCAGAAAGATATTCAGATTGTCTGGGAAAAAAGGCACTACGTGGCACGTTATTGAAACTAGGTCTCAAATGTTCTGGTGTTCGCCTAGTATGAAAAACCGGGAATCGTTTTTAATATCGTGTCTGGTTCATGATATAGGATTTTTTTTTTCTTGCGCTTTTCATTCAGTTATGGTGGGGTGACCGACCGCCGCCGAGAGGTGGCATGACATGTTATGTCTAGAATTCCTGGGGATGAAAATGAACGAATTTTGGTACCACCGAAGACAAAATTGGGAGTGCCTCTCCAGATAATTTCCTAATTTGGTGAGATGATACTGTTGATATTACACGCGCATTTTAGTAGGCGCTCATCTTCATACTTCAAGCAAATGACACCCTCACAGCTTGTACGTTTGCGGCCTGTCTTTAAAAAAAGCGTACCTTCACTCTACTTTGCAAAGTAATCTTCGAGAGAAGTGTGCACTGTTTTTGTTTCCCTTTTTAAAATAGTACTGCCCACTCTGTTTTGCGTACTGTCGTAGTGAACATTTTTCAAGGCATAGTTATTGCATGAGCATGCATTGCTTCAAAACAAGCAACCTCAATGACAAAATAAACCAAAGTTCACCACTACATAACGAAGTAACTTAGCAATAAAAGGTACTAACATCACGCAGCCTATACCAACTGCATTTTCATTATATACTGGCAGAGATGAGGGAAGGTCGACTAGTTAACCCAACTTAAAGGTCCGTGCAAACGCCGGAGGTCATAGAAGGTGACTCATAGAGGCGTCAGGGCGAGATCACCAGGATTCGAGGAGTTCTCTTTTCCCCTGCCCTGTTAACCGGCCAGCGTTTTTGCTTCTGGTATTCGAGCCCTGTTTGTAAGAAAGAGATAAAAGCAAGCATTTGCTTTTTGAGAGTGAAGGTGGACAGGACAGCAAAAATTTTGAGTTTTACCTGTTTGGTCGGGAAAACTTTCTTCCCCCCTCCCGAAAAAACTGCATTCCCGGCCATGCTAGCGGGACTGAAAAGAGCAAAAAACCCTGCAGTGTTGCACTACTTTCTCCCACGATAAACACAGAAAATACGGCTAGCTTGTCGAGATGGAGCCCTCTCTTTTCCCTCTTACTCTCATAACCATGCTCCTTCGTTCTACGTTGAGCTGTGAAGTCAAATGAACTGCAGAAATAAGTCTTTACCCCCCCCCTTCCTCTTCAACAGAAATGTCGGCTATCTCGCAACCCTTCTGGACGGTATTTCGCGCAAAATATGGACAAAAAAAAAGAGCACAGGCTGTGTCTGTCTTTGCTCTCTTCCTTCTT